AGAGAAACTAATAGGTACATGTACCTATTACATTGCATGGGAAATACATTCTTGCAATTTATGATAAATGTCACATAATCTTCTAGCTATTATGCATTATATTAATATTTTTTTGTTATTTTCATACAAAACTGAAAGATCTTGGTCCTGAGTCAATAGCAGAATTTCTAGAAATGCAAGATGAAATCAAAGAAAATTTTGCAGAACCACAAAAACTATGCGCAAATAAATTTAATTTTAAAAGAAAAGGTAGAGATGAAGCATTGTTTTGAACATTTGATTATATTTTTGATTGGTATTGTGATATCAGAAATGCATTGAATGGAAGAAAAGGCCTTGGTGATAAAATATTTCACCCTCTTCCTGCACTTCAATCTGCACCAGGTGGTGGGAAATCTTTCTTTTTTGATGAGTTGGATTCTCTGAAAAGTGAAGATCTTGTTCATTATTTAAAACCAAAACTTTCTAATCTGGAAAAAGAACAAGAATGTGAAAAACAACAGTATGCCAAGGACATTGTATATATACTACATAATTCAGTCAGTGTGTGTGTAACATATAATGGAAGTTCACCATATGATGATGATATAGTTGAGAATATCCAAAGAGAATTGGTAATGCGAATCTTATGGAGTTACTTCTTTAACATGAATAATTTAGATTGGAATGATTTTTGCAAAACATTTAGGAATCATTGGATATTTTAACAGCTGTTTGAAGCATCATGCATCATTCAAAAAAAAATCAGTATTTTTATGTGTTGATGAAACTATGAAAATTCTATCAGACAATAATACAAATCTTGGGAATGTCAAAAGGTTACTAAATGAACTCTACAAACTCTATCATCAATTTTCAGCCTCGGAAAGCAAATTCCATTTTGTTGTGTCTACTCTTGATGCAATAAATATATGAGAGATACAAACAGACTCACAAAGGCTCATCAATTGGATACCATTGAGAAGGCTTGTTCTTTCAGAATCAACCAAATTATTTGATAAAGTTATAGAAAATTTTGATCATAGATTGTTCATCATTAAGAAATGTATTGCAGATTGTAATGGCCATCCAAGAAACATTGAGATATTTTACATAATGATGATACAGCCTTATATATTGATTCTTATAGTTCCCTAATTGAACATCTGACAACGAGTCTTCACCGATTGTTAGGTAGAATCTCATTTTCAATGGTTAAGATGGCATTATTAGGAAATGAAATGTCTTTGAGATGTGAAATAGAAACTGATTCCACGCAATGCTTCTTGTTCTTCTTGCTGTGCTTGTTGAAGAAATTGGAGAAGTTGAAGAAGCATCATTTTCAACCATGAAATTGTTATCATTCATTAGTAATATTAGTACTTATTATTTTAGATTTAATGAATTGTATGACTGTAAATCGTGTTATTTTTTTACTCATTATTAACAATATAGGTCACATGACCATTAATCAAGAAATCCGTTATCATTAAAAATTCGAATAAATATCATATCAAGAAGAATTTTATTATCATCAAACCATTCTTAGCCCTCAATCCATTAATATTCATTAAATGGAGGCACACTAATTGAGATTCACTGTGTAATATAAATTTAAATTATCAAATTAAAAATATAAATTTAATATGAACGTTAAAAAAATTTTAGGAATCTGGTTTGATTCAAATCAATTCGAATCAAGTCACGAATCAAATCGAATTGACTACAGATCAAATTGAATTGAATTGAACCACTCTCAAATTCAATTCAATTCAATTCGTTCAGGGCCTTATGTATCACCAATGACCAGGAGAATAACTGTCTTCACTAGGTTGACCTGTCACATGTCAAATTTTAGTTTTAGTTCTTTCTCTTTATTGACTAATTGCTTTTTCAATGTTCAATAATTCTTTATTTGCTTGTTGTTGTTCATTTATAATGTTTACCATGATTTTTGTTAATTATATTCTTCAATTTTCTTTTTATAAAAGCATTATTAAGTATATACATATGAAATATTCATTAGGCTGCGCCTCAACATAAAACTAGTCTAGTTTTAGACATTATTTGGAGTTAATTTCTAAATTTGATTAGCGTGCATAGATTCCGCCGATTGAATTCGAACGTCATTATTATTTCTAGATTTGGTTAGCAAAATTCTGCACCCATTTATTTTAACCAAATATGAATTCGATCGATTAATCTGATATACAGTCATATATACCTCTTTTATATAAACAAGGGGATATAAAAAGAAGTACGACTGTAATGGGATTCATAAAACGTATATTAATTAATATATATAGTCAGAACTCGTTAAACCGAGTCAATAGATAAATTTAATAGGTAAATAATAAAGCAACATCGGTTTATCGTGTATATTCGCTTTATCAAAGCATGAACACATGATTTCTGTCGACGCTTTCGAACATTCGTAATACATGCGAGCATTCGTAACTCGATATACGTAACCAAATACCAATTACGTGTTATTAATTTCCTTATTATTAATTATATAGATCTGTGACTATCAGTCAAAATTGTATAAAAATTATTAGATTATTTTTCACAAAAAAAATTTTACCATTAAAATGTATACCAAAAATCTTCCTTACTCCTCTACAATAAAGGATGAAGCTGAATTTTTGTTAAATGATATAGTGTTAAACTTATGTGCCTCCGCAAAAGCCAGAGATTGGGGCCCTGGTTGTAGTCATTGGGTTAAACAACTTAACGGGTATGAGATTTATTCTTATTCTGCATAAATTGCAAGCTTATTTGATATAGAATTTTTAGCATTTTTAAAATATAACCAACCTGTCATACATTGAAAAAAGACTTAAATTTATTATCCTTTTACTAATGTATTTATTTTGATCGAATTTAATTTTTATTATAGATATCTTGATCTTCATTATCCATTATCATGCCAAATTCGAGTTCAATTAGCCCAAGTGCTTTTTGAATTAGTTATTACTCCAGGAATTGATGCATCACATGCTGAGGTTTTTTCAAATACTTGTGCTCGCTTACTCAAGTATGATTATTATTATTAGTTCATCGTCATCTTTTTTATGTTTTTTAATAATAATTTTAATATAATTTTTTTCAAATCATTTTTCCAAAAACAAAAAAAAAAGAAAAAAGGATAAAATCGGTCCTGAGGATTTAACTTTACCTTGGGAACCATTATATGATAAAATTCATAATACATTTTTTCCAAAAAGTCGTCAAAAAACTTTAGTCAGTGAATCGTATCCTGTATTTTTACACGAATCGCATGATGCCACATGCTGCACTTTGTGTCGTTTTCGCATTATATACTAATATATATATGTGTGCACTTTATTTTCAATTTTATTCTTAACTATCTGATTCTTTTTTAATAGTAAACAAATTGGGTCGATTGTCCGTTTAGTGGAACATGCTCAAAGGTAAAATCAAAATATAAAAGTAACAATATATATATATATATACATATATAAGCAAATAAATATGGCTTTCAAAATCATTACCTATTAGATTTTTCCCCCCAGAATCAACAAAAGAAATTCTTTCAAAGATTTTACCTTTATTCCATGCTAATTCAATTGGAGATACATTTACCGTACAAGCGTTCCTTGTACGGTTTTTGCCTACCACTCCAACTGCACCACCAAATCTGTCACCAGTAGATTGGCTTCCAACAATCTTTTCATTTTGGTATCTTATACAAGGATCATCCATATTCCAAACAGAATTTATCGATCTAATGGCTCGTGTTGCAGAAGATAATGTTGTGGTCGAAAATACCGATCCAAAAAATATTGGGATTTTTACTCAAGTGCAGGCCAAAACAATATTTGGTTCAGGTCAAAAAATGATGGATTTGCCTGTGGGTAGCACTAGTACTGGTAATAATAGTTTAGGAAGAAGCACATCTTCAAGGATCGACTCTAGAGCTGGTAGTGCTATGTTATTAAGGAAAAGAGGGGTAATCTTCATTTTCTTATTTAATAGTTTTATTAGAGATTAATGATTAAATTAATTTTAACTTTAATAGGATAAATTTAAAATGTTGGCAAGATTCATTGTTTACACAATGTTTACAACATCCGAAAATGAGGAATCAACTTTAACACATTTGGCTAACATGATTCAAGCTATTGAATCATTCTATCATCCAAGTAATTTTGGAAGATGGACTTATTCAATTGTAAAATTTCTACAATATCTTGGTTGGGAATTCTTAAAAAGATGGACTGACGGTAACAATATTTACTACTGTTGTTGTCGTCGTTATAATAGTAGTATAAACAGCTTGACCAATTCAAAATTTTTTTTATTTAGAACAAAAGTCAGATTGCAAAACACCAGTATCACGGCGATTAACTCCAGAAATTAGACGTCAATTTGTTCTAACTTTAAGAGGCGTTACCTTTTTATCTATGTTTGGAAAAGATGCTATGTCTGTTGGATCAAGTCAAGCGTCACTCAAATATTTAGCTTGTATCTTTATCAAATTAAAAAACAATTAGATTGATTATTGATTTAATTGATAATATCAAGTACATGCATAATTATTATATATCCATAACCTATTTACAATTATGATTTTTTGATGATATAGGGTTGGAACCTTCGTTGATCTTTCCTGGATTGTTGGAACGCGTATATCCATCATTAGAAACCTTGACCGAGGTATATACATTTATAGTTTATACAATAATAAATTCTTTTAATGTTTTTTTATATTAATTATTTTCAAAAAAAAAAAATTTTTTTTTGGAAAAAGACACATCGAACAACATCATCTATATCAGCACTTTCACTGCTAGCTATCCCATTATTTTCACGAACTCAATACCCAGCCGGTGGAAAACATCTTGCGCCTCTTCTTCATCTAATAATTCCTGGTATTGATATGAATGATCCAATCAAAACAATATCTTCCTTGGTATTTGTTACCCATACGTTAATGGGCGTGCCATTGAGTGATTTGACAGATGGTAATAATGATCCTAGTTCTGGATTCCGTTGGACTGGCATAGATATTTATGAGAGAGAAAAGGATGAAATGGAAATTGATGGAGAAGAAGAAAATGCATTATGTAAAGCCGGTACTTCAGAATTTGAAGAATGGCTGGCAAAGTTTTATAGAAGAATTTTTACTATAGTATCCTTTTTTAAAAATAATAATATACTTTAGCTGTCTATTTGTATATTTAATCACAAATTAATTCCCTTTACTCGAAAAAATCAATCTAAAAATTACAGTTTGAATATCTTCCACAACAAGTACGTAGCAAAATGAATATGGAAACTGGCTTGGTTACTGTTCTATTGGTAATTATTAAATTTCATTGTTTGTATTTTTATTTGTTTATATCTAAACCTATTTCTATTTTTTTTTTCGTTATAGCATGCATGTGAAATAGTTGGAAATCAATTGTCAGAACATCTTCAAAGCATGGCCTTAAAAATGGTTATAGATTTTGCATCAACAACTATTTTGCAAAATGCTATAAAACCAATGGGTATAACTCATAATTTAAATTTGTACAGTTAAAATCATCGTCAATTTATTTAACTGATCATCATCAATCGATCAACTATTTATTTAATTATTCTAGGCTTTTTATGTTCAACTTTAACAAATGCTAATAAAAAAAAAGCACTTGCGCAATTCATTCCATTATGTCATTCAAACATCTCAGTTGAACTTCAACATGGCGCTTCCTCCACACCAACAACATCATC